TCCCGATGAGATAAGCTTTGGGACAAGATTTGAAGGACATTTGTTTTTCTTTTTGCAGTGAATGCTTTCTAAATTTTCTTATAAAATAAACCTTTACCTTAGATTTTTATCAAGCATGAGCACCTTCAAAACTTGTATGTTCTTGATGTCATTTAAATTTTGCTAATAGCAACAAATGGTTGAACTACTAAAAGCAACAAAAGCAAATATTGTGCAGTGTATGAAGCGTTTTCATATCTGCCTAATCTTCATAATGACTTGGGTGGGCAGAGCTGAAAGCAGCTATCAATATCCTTGTTTTACAGATAAGCACATTGTGTTCCCCCCAGAAATAAATAATTGACATTGTCCGGGGTTACAGCAATCTGGCTGGAGCTCTCTGTGGTTCATTCACCATTCACCATCATAAGGGAAGTCTTATTTATAGATCCAGAGCATGGCAGCCATCTCAATGGAAAGGCATCATTGCTCAAGTTCAGAAGGGGGCCACTTCTAAATAAGAAGGTGTCAACTCAGACAAGCACAGCAACCCCTCTTCCAGGATTTTCCTAAGCCACTCTCCAAGTAGATAGCTCAGTTCTGCAGTTTACCACTTTGAGAATGATGCCCAACTCAGGGCAAACATGTATCAATCACAATGGGTTTCTGGGAAGAGTGCAAAGGGATTTTTCCCTGTTGAGCATGGATTCCTTTCTGGGTAGAGGTAGAAATGAATAACACATGCTGTGGTCCTAAGAAGCACATAAAAATAGCTTCACGTATAACCCAAACTTCAAACTAATGAGGCAAGAAGGGAGGTAATATCCCTGGTTTTATTTTACCAACTTTTTTTCTTTCCACAACTAATCCAGATTATCCCCTCCTTAATGTTTATAAAGAAACAAATATTACAGTTAGAGTAGAAACTCCCATCCCATTCCTGTCCATCTACCCCCAGAGGTGACTAATATTCTGAAATTTATGTGTATTTTTTGACTCATGTTTTATACTTTTATGATTTGTCATACTGTTTTGTGTGCTTTTTAAAAATTACACAAATGGTAGCATAGTAAGATATTTAATCTTGCTTTTCTCTCCTTTCATTTATAGTTCTGAGATTCTGCCTTGTTGATCATGTACGTCCAGTTTGTCCTCTTTATGAATATATTAAAATTCTTTCTATACCTATATTGATTGATGTTTTCAGTGTTTCCATTTTTTTTATTCTCAGAAACAAGTGTAGAACTTTCCTTGGGCCTGCATGCAAGAGTTCCTCTAGGGTTTTTACGTGGGAATAGAATTTCACCTTGACAAGGTATGAATGCCATCAACTTTTTAAGGTATTGACATATTCCTCTCTCCTCTCCAAGCAAGATATGAGAGCTCTCATTTCTTCCTGTCCTCTCAAACAGTTGGATATTGCCATTCTCTTTAAATTTTGCCAGTCTAATGGCAGTGAAATGAAATTTAAATGTTATGATAATTTGTAGGCCTCTAATTATTAGTTAGGTTGAGCATCTTTCCACAGTTTTATTGGTCTTTTGGGTTTCCTCTTTTGTGCAATTCCTGCCCCAACCTTTGTTCATCTTTTTTCAATTAGCCTTGTTTCCCCATCAATTTGTAGGGTTTTTTTGGTAGATATTTGATACCAGTCCTTTTGTCTGAGTTTCAGGACAAAAAATAAGTGCCAGAGATTACATGGAATGTGGTTTATTTGAGAGAAAATGATACAATGGAAGTTCCTCCACAATGTACTTGGGATTCCCATAATACCTGCTCCTCTTCGCCCCCGAGCAAAACTGTAGTAAGTGTGTTCCAAAATAGGGAACCTGCTGGGGGTCCACTGTGGACAGGCACTCGGGAGTTTCATCGATGTGTATGTAAATCAACAGAAATCATATCATTTTTGTCATGCTCACTTCTACACTTAATATCATATACATAATAAGCATATTTGATAATATAACTATATAACTATAGTTCAGCTCTGAGCAAGTGCTTTATGTGCCTATAAGGTATTTCTAGTCGGCATCTATAAACCTGCACCGTAACATTGTTTTGTATCTTTAAAAGCTCAGCTGGGCCAAGGCTTTTCTCTCACTTGCAGGCAGCAGTAGGTCTCACTTCTCATTCTGTACCAGTCTGCTTGCAACTTGTACCTTGATTTTAACTTTGCTAATGCTTTCTTTGTTGGTTCAGAAATGCAAAAATTTAAGATAGTCATATTTATCATTATTGTCTTTTATACTTCTGTTCTTTGATCTTATTTATGAAACCTTATAATTTCATATTAAGGTCTTGTAACCTGAAATATATATTAAATATATAGTATGAAAAAGGAAATAGAATTTGATTTTTTCCTCTATGGATTGTCAGTTTTTTTCAATGCCATTTACTGGTCCAGACATTTCTGTCATTTTTAATAGTAGTTCTCTTACTGTATCAAATTCCCACATAAGTTTCTGTATGTTTCCCTGTTTTCTGTCTATTTCTGTTCCAATTGGCTGTGCCTGCACCAATATCACTGCTATTTTTTACTGCAGTTAAGTAAGTCTTGATATCTGGTAAGGTACAACTGTAAACTATAAAATTTGTTAATTCACTTTAAATTTTGTATGTAAGATTATCTAATCTACAAATAACACCAATTTTATTTCTTTAATACAACCATTTTTCTTATGTCACTGGCAAGTATTGTCACAATAGTGCTGATTATAGAAGAGATGATCCATGTCCTATATTGATTTTAAAAGTAATATTTTTGTATTTGACTTCAATGTTTGCTATATTTTATTAACTAACATTATAGAAGCTTCTTTTCTATCTCTAGTTTGCTAATAGTTTTAATAATAAATAATTGTATTTAATGAAATGCTTCTCCTGCATCTATTGAGATAAATATATCTTTGTCCTTAAATGTCTTAGTGCCATAAATTATTTTAAAAAGTTCTAACTGTTAAGCTATCCTGGTATTTCTGGGGTAAGCCCTATTATATATGCTATATTAAAAAAATATTTGGCATTGAATTCAATTTGTCAGGGTTTTATTTGGGATTATTGTATATATGTTGGTAAGTATTCAAAAGTCACCTTATTAAAAAGGCTTTCAGTGACCATCCTTATAAAAGGACAGCCTTCCCCCTTCCATTGCTCTATTTCCTTATTCTCCATTTTTTTTCTCCATCACATGTATCATCATCTGATATATAATAATTTGCTTTTTAAATCTATCTTTCTCAAGAGACTATTGATTCAGGGAGAGCAGACCTTTATTTTGTTTACTCTTCTACCCTAAACAACTTGCAGAATACTTCTTTAATGAATTAATGTACTTGAGAGAATTAGCATATATAAATGAATTAATGCATAAATGGATGCTGTTAGCCTATAATTTTTTTCTTCTCATGTCATTTTCTAATTTTTATATTAAGGTTTTTCTTCATAAAATGAATTGGGTAGCTATCAAACATTTTGTATAATTGTACATTTATTTCATAGGATTGTTAAGGTCTAATGCTTTCTTATAGGTAGGTCATGATGATTTGATTTCTTTAAGTGCTATAGTTCGACTTAGGTTCCTAAAATAATTCTTAAGCTATTTTTGGTAGTTTCTATTTGTCTATAAAATTGTTGCTGTTGTCTACATTTTCAGATTAACTGGTATATTATATATTAATTTATCATGGCTGCTGTAACAAATTGCGATTCCAGCATTCCTTTGTTCATATCCCCACTTTACTCTGATTCCCAGCCTCCCTCCCGTGAGGCTCCTTGTAATGTCAGTAGACCCACCTCGGTAATCCATGATCTCAGTATCTTTAACTGAATCACATCTGCAAAGCCCCTTTTGCCACATAACATTTTCAAGGTATTTGCAGTTAGGAAGTCGGCGTCTTTTGGGGGGGCATTTTCTACCTACCACAGTTGGCAACATGTTTTCATTGTATTTCTCCTGTCTCTCTAAGGTGTTGCCTTTTTTCCTTTCAAAATGTATTTAATTCTTCCTCTATCACTTTCTCTCTTAATCAGTTCATCTACTTTATATTAACTTTGTCCATTTTATTAACTGTACCCTGACAGCTGTGGCATGAGTGTGGGGTTTAGTATAAAAGTGGAAAGGCAATGTCAGCCACGCTGGGGGTTCTGGTCGAGTTAATCCCCCCACACCTGTCATTTCCCACTACTTCATCAAACAAAACTACTGTCATTGTGCCCTGGGTATTCTAAGTAACCCCTGGCAGGATGCTTCCTAACCCAGAGTTGCAGGTAATGATGCATCCCGAGCATTCTCACTTGCGTTCCACTTCCGGAGCTGCCCTTTCTCTATGATAGAAACGTCAGAGCTTCCTTTCTCTCCCGTCTCCACTCTTGGGAATACCTAAGGAGGTGAGGGCCTCACAACTCCCTCTGGGGCTCAGGCCTGGGCATGCGCACCGGCCGCGCCGAATTGGAAGCCAGCGCTCGGGTCTCTCCCCTGCCCTCCCCACCCAGGTCCGGGACCGGTCCTGCTGGTTCCGACATCTGGGGAATTAACGTGTCCCGCCCATCCTAGCTCCCCGCCTCCGCGCTGTTCCCTCGCCGCTTCCAGCTCCTTGCGGTGAAAGCCGCTACAAAGGGTTTGAATGAAACGTGTGTGGGTTTAGCGAGTCGAAAGCCACCAGGGGATCCAGTCTTCCCACAAACCAGCATCTCAGAGGCAGAGGAGGGGGAGGAGGCAAGGAGCCGAGCGCCCGGTCTCGCCCGCGCGCGCAGCGGCTGGAGCGGCGGGGAGAGGCCGGCCGTCTCCCCTCCCCGGCCATGCACCGCCTCGCCCGCGGCGGTTCCAGGCACCGCGCTCTCCGCCTGGGCTGCGCCTGCTGTCGCAGCCAGCAGCCCGTCCGGCCACCCGCACCGTCCCCCGAGGAGCAGGGCACGCCCTCCCCACCCCCACCAGCGACTCCCTTCTGCGCGGGGACACGCCGCCCCGCAGCTCGCGCCGCCCCCTGGTCAACTTTAAGCAGGAGAAGAAACAACTTTGACAGTGGCCTTGGGCTTCGAGTCCCTCTTGTGCTCGGCAGCGGTAGCTTTTCAAGCCGCTCGGGGTTAGGTGGGGCAAGAGTTTGCCAGGCGTATCTGCCCTGCGTTTGGCTGTTTGCAACCTGTTTCCAGAGACCAGCGAGTGGGATTGTGGCTACTGGTCATCCGAAGAAGGGGGACTTGCTTTTCTTTCCCTTTGGCGACCTCGGCTTGGAACTGGATAAAGCCGTATCGAAAGGATGTAAATAGGCAGAACAACTGTTACCGAGAAGGCAACCACCCAAAGGCGAGGGAGGAGCGTGGGGCTGCGTCCGGGCTTCTCCCAGCCGCAACGTTAGTCAACAGTCAGGTGTTGGTGGCAACTTTTCAAGGTCAGCCACCGCGAGCAGCGATTCCCGCTCTGAACCTTGGGGATACGCAGCGCTCGGGTTGGGTTTGGCTGAGAAATGCACCGAACGCCAAACGAGGAAAGATTGTAGAGTGAGCGGGTTGTGGCCCCCAGGATCCATCCCCCCACCTCACGGCGATCTCCCGTCCCCAGCTGCTTGGGCGGGGGTGAGAGGGTGACATGTGTCTAACTCTCAGCAGCAACTCGGGCAGCAGGTGTTGGTCCTAAGCAGGAGCCGCGGCTGCCGGGCGCGCCCTCGCCGAGCCATGCGGGCCCCGGGCGCGCCTCTCGCCCGCACCTCGCGGCTGCTGGTTCTGCTGCTGCTCGAGGTTTCTGCCTCTCCTGCCCTCGGATCCGCCCCTGCGCCCAGGAACGAAACTTGTCTGGGGGGGAACTGTTCACCTACGCTGATCCGGCGTCGCGGCAGGGACGCTTGGGGACTGGGGAATTCTGCAGGAGACCTCCCGCTAGCCCGCGCTCCCAGGGAGGAGCAGGAGGCAGAGCGGCGCGCGCCGCCCGCGTGGGACCTACCGGCGGCCGCGGGCGGGGGCCCAGGTGCCGGCAGGGGGGCGGAGGCGTCGGCAGAAGAGCCCTCGAGACCTCCAGCCAGGCCGCCTGGCGCCTGGAGGTGGAAAGGTGCCCGGGGTCAGGAGCCCCCGGGAACTTTGGGGAGAGAGAACCCCACGGCACTCCAACTCTTCCTTCAGACCTCGGAGGATAAGGAGAAGGGTCCCAGAGGCGCTGGCATTTCTGGGCGCAGCCAGGTGCAGAGTGTGAGGACGGAACCCGGAGCCGGCGACCTTTATTACTGGCCTAGGAGGGCCGGGAAACCCCACGGTTCCCACCACAAACCCCCGCCCAAGAAGGTCAACGGATTGTTGGGGTATGAAGGGCGGACGATTGCATCACCCGGCAGGGCCCTGGCCCAGAATGGGTCGTCGGGCGAAGGGGTGCCCGAACGCGGGGGGCCCCGCCGGGGGAACACCACCAACCGGCGCTTGCGTCTGAAAAACCCCTTCTACCCGCTGACCCAGGAGTCGTACGGAGCCTACGCCGTTATGTGTCTGTCTGTGGTGATCTTCGGGACCGGCATCATTGGCAACCTGGCGGTCATGTGCATTGTGTGTCACAACTACTACATGCGGAGCATCTCCAACTCCCTCTTGGCTAACCTGGCTTTCTGGGACTTTCTCATCATCTTCTTCTGCCTTCCGCTTGTCATCTTTCACGAGCTGACGAAGAAGTGGTTACTGGAAGATTTCTCCTGCAAGATTGTTCCCTATATAGAGGTAATACTTTCCGGGGTGGGGGGAGGAGAGGGGGTCTCAAGCTACTGTCTTTACCCATTTCCGCGATTTATAGCATCAGAACTGCTGCTCCGCCCGCCCATCTGGCTGCTGAACCCCTTCACTATGTCTCTGGGTCCCTCTTATATTTATTTCTCTTGCCAATCATTTATGCGTTTGTGTGTGTGTGTGTGTGTGTGTGTGAGAGAGAGAGAGAGAGAGAGAGAGAGAGTAGCGACAGCTTTGGTTTGCTCACTTTCAAGTTCATCTACTCCCAGATTGTGAAAAAAAATTTTGATCTCATAGTGTATATAATTGTTTCTATTTTAAGTTTACTTCTCAATATGTTATTGTATATATTTCTGATTCAACACCTACCAGAGGTTCTAGGGTTAATAAATGTCCAGTCCATGGTGGTCATTATCAGAACTCAGCAAACAAAAAAAACTATCATTCATCTACTAGATTTTTAGTGCCCCAACATAATTTTCCCCCAAGATTATTGAACTTTTCTTAAATATCAAAATTAGAGTAATATTTTATTTAACAAAGGAAATCTTTCTTCCTTTGTCAGTTGGCTTCATGATATATTAATAACCTTCCAAATTAGTTTAAGTGTCTTTGGCTGTCTGCCATGCTGTCCCATCTAAATTCTTATGTCATTTATTTCTCTTTTCACTTTCTAAGTTTCTTAACAATTTATTTATTTTGTATGAATGAGCTTAAACAAAAGTAATACTTTGGCTGTCATGGCACCGAATTAATGTAACATTCTTAAAGTATATAATAAATATCTGTCATTTGTTAAAGTATAAAGGATTGGCTGCTATTTTAAGGGACTGACTCTAAGACTAGCAAATTTCTTAAGAAGGAGGGGGCATATAATAATAAGTTCCAAACTTTGGAAACAAAAATCTTTCTGAGTACAATTTTACTGTTTCTTCTAGAATTAGTGTCCAGAACCGTTATTATGGTAGCTGGAATTTGCTCTTTAGATGGCCTCTCTTTAAACACCAGCTCTTGGAAGGATCCCAAGTGCTTGTTGCCAGTTGTGTTTTTAGCCAGCTGGCCCTTGATTTCCTCCATTCAGACTGCCCATTTCATTTATGGAAGCAGAAGAAGGGAAACTGTAAATATTCCAGAGCCCCTGATCCTGTCTGGCACCAGGGCCAGTGACACTATGTTCAACATTGTTCCAGGGCCTAAAGCTAGGGGATAAGTAAGCAGAAAACAGTACCTAGTTAGAAGGACCAAGGCAAGAGACAGTAAATAAGAACCTCTGTTATCCTGCCAGGGATCAGATGCAGAATCATTCCATGCTTGCTAAATCAACTGTTGCTACCTTACCAAGATCTAGGATTTCTCTTGTTGCCAAGCTCCAAGTAGCTCTGAAGCATCTGATTTATTCGGTGGACGGTTCATTTTTTAATTGTAGAGAAGGCAGTTGAATTTATGTAAAAGAATATGTGTCTACCAGTTCCCTTTTTAAGGTCAATTTCAATTGAAGATGTTTCTTTGAGTAATGCAGAAGAAACTGATACATGCAAGAAAGAAGCAAAAGTAAACTGTAGTGAACAGGAGAGTTAAGCTCAGTAAGAGGTAAATATATTATCTTAAATGTGCTAGACATGATAATAAAAACATTAGAGGGAAAAATAAGGAGGAAAAAGTAACCAGGAAAAGAAAAAATAAATTACCAAAATTCTTGAAAGAAACTTTAGAAGAATCCCATCCAAATTCAGAAAAGATATAAAAACTTGGGTTAGTTTAAAAAGACCTATGAATTTTAAGTGATAATACTGTGTTTTAGTTTTCTTTCTAATTCTGAGGATTTAAAAAAATGTATATTTTCATTTTCATTTCATTTCCAATTCTCTGCTTCTTAAGAATATTTTGTTTATACCTCTTAAACAATAATTAAAACAATTATTATTTTTGTTCTCTGTATTTTTTCCTTCTTTACAGCCCTATTTTTTAGTTATTGTTACTAGACTTTATAGAGGAGCAAAGACTTGGAAGAAAGATTCATTTTTTTCTTGAAAAATTAGATACTAATTTTTACTGTTCGAGTAATGAAAATCTTGAGATGTAGTATTTCTACATTCCTACCTAATTCTATTCTTCTAAAATTATTCTATAATGTTTTAGTATGTTTTGTGAGAATAATTATTGGACAGTAGTATCAGCTCCATAATTCTTGATTATGAGAACAAGAAATACAGTCCAAATCTCATAATAAAGGATTTCTGCCTCTAGGAGGCAACTGCTATTTTCACAGAAGTAAGAAAGAGTTCGTGCTTGTTCAACGCCAAGTTCCCCGAAAAAACAGACCTTCATGTGGAGATTTGCTTGCAGTAAGTTTATTGGGACATGCATTCAAGTTCAATACCTGGTAAGGAATGAAGGAAGCAGGATTGGGCAGCGGCAGAAGCTGAACTGTGATGCAGGTGCCGCAAAGATCTCAGCTAACCCCAAAGGGAGCTCTAGGGCTGGGGTGGTCCCACAGAAATGTCCTGAATTAAGGTAAGAGCATCCAGGCTAATGTTCCCTAAAGGACTAGCCATTGGATGCAAGTTGCTCCCCGGAAGTGGGTATAACTTTGAGCTGGGTGGATCTCCCTGGTCAAGGGCAATGCCTAGAAAGGGATGCAGCTAAGAGCTGTCAATCATCAGTAGTCCCAGCAGTTGGGGGAATCAGCCCCTCATTCTTGAAGTACTTTTGTGGAGAGGCAGTCTGGGTAGGGAGCCAGAGTCTCCACTACAGTGGTTTTTGAATTAGCATGTTAAATTAGAATCAAATGGCATTCTAATCCAACTCCCTAATATAAAGATGAAACACGAGGCTGTGAGAAGAGAAATGATCATCCTAACATATACACCCAAACCGGCAACCATTATCTCAACACTTGAAGTTGATGTTTGTTTATTAGGCAAACATCTATGAGGCAATAGGGTACCTGGTGCATGTTTTCTTTTTATTTCTGCTCCTTGGCATCTTTTTTTAAGACTTCCATATCCAATAGACCAGAAACAAAACATAAGTTCAGTTGACATCATTTGTTAAATGATGAAATATATAGCTTCTTGCATTCTTAAATTTCATCTTGTTTCTCATAAATCAACTGCAAGTTCCACAATTGGTAACTCATTCAATTTTTAAAAATTCAGTCATCTGAGACAACTGTACTTTTTGTGCCAAATATAATTATTTTAGTGTTGAAATAGAAAGCTATATATAGTAGCATTTTATGCTCTTAAAATCATGAAGTGTTTTAGAGTGGACATCAAAAATTCACTACATTTGTTTAAACTTTCTTTAAAACCTGCAACCCCCAAACATTTTTCTTCTTGATCACAAGATTTCTAAAAATTGACATTTTATCCTCTTTTGTTTTCTAGATTTTGCCTTTCTTCACTTTTTAGTTTCTTATATTTATTTGTTGGCTATTCTTTATTTTTCACTGCACACCATCTTCATGATTTATAATGTATGATGTACCATTTTTCTAGTACTCAATCTTATGTTTTCAAGTGTTTTATTTTTTAATATTTCTTAGTTACTTTTAAATTTTATTAATTTTTTATTGAGATATAATTAACATACTAGTTTCAGGTGTACAGAATAATGATGTGATGTTTATATACATTGTGAATTGATAACTACAATAAGTCTAGTTAATATCCATCATCTTAAGTAGTTACAAAAATATTTTTTCTTGTGATGAGAAGTTTGAGATCTATTTTCTTAGCAACTTTCAAATGGGCAACTCTAGTCACCTTGCATTACATCCCTATGATTCATTTATTTTGTAACTGGAAATTTGTTCCTTTTGATCCCCCCTTCAAACAACCAACCTCCCCTCAACCTTGGCCCTGCCTCTGACAACCAATGAGCTTGGTTTTATTATGATTTTTTTGTTTATTTTAGAATCCACTTATAAATAAAATCATATGGTATTTGTCTTTCTTCATCTGATTTATTTTGCATAGGATAATGTCCTTGAGGTCCATCTGTGTTGTCACAAATAGCAAAAAGATTTCATTCTTTTTTATGGTTGAATCATATTCCATTTTGTGAGTGGGAGTGTGTGTGTGTGAGTATCACATTCATTTTTCATCCATCCATCCACTGATGGACACTTTGGTTTTTTCCATAAAAGCTGTAAACTTTTTAACTCTATGGCCCTAAACTACTGATTTTTTCCATATCTTGGCTATTATACATAGTGCTGCTATGAACATGGGGATGTATATGTCTTTGCAAGTTAGTGTTTTCATTTTCTTCAGGCAAATACTCATAAATGGGATTACTGGATGATGTGGTAGTTCTATTTGTAATATTTTGAAGAACCTCCATACTGTTTTCCATAGCAGCTGTACCACAATTTTTATTGATCTTTACAAATTTTCTCTCTCATCTTCTCTTTTGCCCTCTTTTCATTTTTTTCCACAGTTCTTTTTTTCTGCAACTTGATTATTAGTATAATTTTAAGGAGGTAGTGGAATTTTGAGGAGAACTGGGTTTGTGTAGAAAAATATAAGGCATTTCTTCAGCAAAAATTATAGATCTTTGAAGTTTGCATTCAACTTTTTTTTTATTTCGATTTGTTGACATAAGGCTTTAAGAGAGCACCCAGCTTCCAGGGTCTGTTGCTAAAAAGGGAATTCTGTCATATTTAATATTGCTGTGAGTAGGAATATATTAGCAACTGTTGTAATTGATAACTTCTCTTTTTCTATTCCAGGATTATGATGCCTTTATGGCCTAGTCCTATAAGGACCAAAGGCAGATGGAATAGTAGGAAAGAGGGATAGGAGAGAATAGAATCTGGGAGGATGGTGGCCATCCTAGTAGATTATTTTTAATTTTTTTTAGACAGTCACCAGAAAAGAAACATACTCAAAGTAATAGTGTAATAGTTCTATGCAGAGAGAGAGAGAGAGAGAGAGAGAGAGAGGAAGAGATGAGTAATGGAGGTCTGAAGTGCAGTAGGAGAGGAGCAT